ATCATAAATTATAAATTATAAATTATATAAATTGGCTAGCATTACTATTATAAAATTATATATAAAATTATGTATATTTATAACGTATATAATATACTGGTTCAACGTATAAAATCTATGCAAAAATAAGATATACAATATACCGATTTGACGTATAAAATTTAACAAAATTACATATACATTATACTGATTAGATGTATAAATTTCGTATTTTTTTGTATACAGAAAAAGTCAATTTTCAGTATCTTGTATACAGAATTATTTACAAATTTATTATACTATTTTTCAACATTTTTTATATGTTTTTTAAATGTATTATTTCCGTATACTTTCCTTATACTGATTATTTATAGGGTAAGTTAACTTCATATTTGGCAAGATCTAGTTTTAACGCTATATCAAAATATAGTTCACCATTCATATCCTCTGTTTTGAGCATCCATAATCTTGATATCATTTGAATACAGGCAATTGTTGCCTAAATTGCATCATAAATCTCATTATGAGAAAATTTCCATCCAGATACACATATATCAATTAGATCATCTCATACAAAGTAATCATTGGGATTTGTAATCCTAGATTGTTCTAGTTTTACAGGACTTGAAAGCTTTTATTTTTGATTCAAGGCAGTTTCGCTAATAGTGAGCTTTATTGAGAAATTATCATTTGAGGATTTCGTTCATGATTTGCGTAGTAACATTTAAAGCTATATGATTTTTTATTTCATATAATTTATGCATTATCACTAGTATGCTCTTATTCACATAATGGGCAGTGTGATAGAGAGTTGCGCATTAATAGAAATTTGTCAGAAAAGTCTTCAGATGAGTATGAAAGACTATATCCTTCTATGCCATTTTTCCAAATAATGATTCCACAAATTTAAATTCAGTCTAAGTTATTTCACTACTTATATCATTATTTTTATTTTCTTCGATCAGGCATCTTTTAACTTCTGGTTCTGAAACAGCCAAGAGAAGACTATCAATGACTTTAGAATCATCATTGGGCAGACGAATCATAAAATTAAAGATAGTTCTATCTTTTAGACAGATAGCTTTTTTTACACAAACATGTTCCTCTGTTTTTTATCATATTTAGGTGATCCAAACATTTGCAAAGAGAAAGATTTAAAAGGACCTGAATTTGCTATATTATCAATAATACCTTTTTTCTGCAATCCTACTGGAAGATTTTTTACGAACAAGTTCAGTGAAAACTGAAGTTTTAGCGATATTTGGAAGTCTCATATCGAAAGTTAACATGTAGAGATATTTTTTTCTTATCATCACTTTCAGCAATAAACATAGTTTCTTTATCCTATTTGGAAAATTTTCTAGACAAGTATCTCTAAAAGAGCAACATAATAAATTGCCCACCTGTTTGTATGAAAGCTGAGAAGTTATAGCATTTAGTATTTTTATTGGTAAATCAAAATCTATGATGGGACGAAGTAGCTCATTCCTATTAATGATTTCATATAAGGAATAACCCTCACGATCTGAGAGTATAGCTTCTATTTCATCTGCATTGTTTACGCCAAGAAAATGTCTTGGTCTAACACTATCATCACGAATTTTATATAAGCATTCACCGATATCTTCAGTTTTAAAACCTTATTTGTACAGGGTAGAGGCGTTGAAGAACTCTGATTGGCTCATAGTAAAAATTTTTAGTTATGTTATCTGGTATACTGTTTCAATATAATACCATAGTAAAAAGTTTAAAATAAAAATAAATAATTATAGATATCAAAGTATTATTTATCTAAGAATAATATCAATAGGCGGTAAATACATTTGTCAGTATTGTTCTAATGAAGGGGAGGTTTGTGAGCGAGGAAGTAGGAAACAAGAAGGGTATTATATTCACTGAAAAAGATGCCAGTGACCTTCATGCAAACAAGATGGGTATGAAAACTGACAGCTTCTGAATATGAATTTTGTGATTAGCACATAAAAAGTACTATTCAAACACATATTATCATTAAAAAAAGTTGGATAAGATGTTTCAGAACCGTCAGACCCCAGAGGCAATGAGTCAGGCTCTCAATCGAATAAAAATACCCAATGCAATAGATTTCTGGTCTTAGAAAATCATCCCTAGAAAATTGTCTTATTGTCTGTAGTGAAATTTTTCTGAGGATGATCAGGAAGGACAACTATGTTATCAGTTTTAGCGTTTTTAGATTTCTGGAAAGCCTTCTAGAATGTGTGTCTCCCCTGTTCTTACTCATTCTAGTAAAAATCAAAACTCTTATCTTTTTATTTTTTTTACCTATAGGTATACATATATACCATATATATATAAAAACCATACATATATATCATATGAAAGTGTTTTCAGTAAAATCACATTACGGATCATATGATTTACTATGCCTTATAACTTGATTTTACTGGAAACGTTTCCATATTAATCGCAGCGCATTATGGATGAAAATCATTTTCATATTAAATTAATATTTATGTAACCATATCGCATTACTTCATTTTAAGTTAGTTCACTTGTTTCTTTATACAACAAAGCAACTAAATTAAGTAATTTAATAGAATATCAAA